CAAAAGAGAAAATACATAAGATGCTGCATACTGCTTGGCGCATTTCCTCGAGGTTTCTTTTTCGTACCAAGTCTTCTCCTCTGGCTTGCACCGCACGGCTTATGTAGTCAACTTTTGTTATGCCAAAAAGAATACAGAAAAAAATAATATATGGGTGGAGAAAAATGCGAAGAGCGGGAAGAAACGCATAAAAACTTGTTGAGATTTATCTTGCCACACGCGAAGAACGCTGCAAGTTACACACTCAAGCAGCACTCCACCGTGCCACCGTGCCACTGCAGTGCACTGGGCCACCCCAGCGCAGTGTCGTCATCATCTAACTGCATTAGAGCTTCCGTTGCATACTTCACGGCGCATATGCCAGTTTATTTATGGCCCTGCCAGCGACTCTCAGCGTAAGCATTTAAGCGCCTTAAAGTATGCAACGCGCACTGCTTTTGCGCCGCAACTTCTTGCCACTTGTTGTGGCATACGTACATATGTTGTTTCTTTTCGCTGCTCTTGTGCGTGGGCTTACATTATGAAAATCTGTGGCAACGACAACACTTGACTGACTGAGTAGATACAATAATGTGCCCAAGTGGGAGGAAGTGAGCACATGAGGCTAGCTGCTCAGTCACCAAGTTTACCATGTGGGTCAAAGGCTCCTCACGAACTACAGGAGTCTTTGGGTTGTAGCCAAACTGAGATACAGTCCATAAAGTCTTTTCAAATGTTTGCAAAAATTTCTAGAAAAACAGCAAAAAATATTATTGTTGAATTATTCCTGCCAATAGTGAAAAATGACTATGAATAATTGAATATGTACTTTGACAAACCTTTAACAGAACTCTATGTATATTGTGACGAGCTCTAAGCGTATTGGCGTGTCCACACAAAACGGAGAATGTCATCATATTGCCATCCAATGAATGTACAATTCCTGTGGCAGCTGTCCACAAACAACATGCCACGCGCTGTTGAGAAAAACAATGGCGTACTGCACACAATGTGGACAAAACAATGCACCAACAAAGAGCAAATACAAAACCAAAATCACACAAATAAATACACAATACCATGAAGAGCACGGTAAACCGAGCGATAAAATATTCGCTAGCATCGAACAGCATTCACGAAACCATGCACTCATCGAAGAGAGATCGCTGGGATGCTCCGATATACCAGTACTAGTACCTAAAGTGCATCCACCACTCTGGACAATGGTCAGGAAAATGCTTGGTTGGACTTGGTCGGAACAATGTCTGAAAGGGTAAAGCCGTTAAGAGGATATCCTGCAAAACAAGCCACGTTTGGATTTATGATTTGTTTTTAAAGCTTTTTCCACTGTTTTTCTGAATAATACCGCAAGATGCTCGCTATATTATATCAGCTACAATTATATATGTCCCTAGTAGAGACTTAATTCTTTGAGCACCTTTGGAAGGACATCCGCAAAGCTTCGTCGCAGTCTTGTTCTCTTCTACCAACATTCGAAATATGACCCAGATATGCAAAATATTTCGGAGACCGAGATAGGGGGATGTGAAAAAGCATGTGAAAACCCATGGCCAACAATGGCAATGGTGTCAAACAACTGTTGAGTGTAGTGTGTCCTAACTGAGCAGCAAACGCCCAGCAATTTGTATTTGTTAGAATTTAAATAACCGGAAGCGCTTCTTCCCAGCAGCAGCGGATCTGCAACAGATTCAAGACACAAAACAAAAAAAAAAGAGGCAAAACCCTGAAACAAAACAAATACAAAATGCAAAACGGAAAACGGAAAGCGAAACAGCAACGAATGACACAAAATGCTGTTCCAGTTGGTCCTGTCCCCCCGTGCCATGGCAAATGCATTGAGGAGAGCGAAGCTGAACTATCAATAACACTAAAAAGCTTTTTCAAATATTTTCTACCCGTTGTTTTGTCTGTTTGCTTCGCTCTGTGCATTTGTTAGTTTTTGGTGCAGCATATTTATTATTTCTTTTTATTTATTACTCCAAATGGTTTCCTTTTGCCTCTCTCCTGCTCTCTTCGCTTCGATATATTTAAAAATGCAATTTTGCTCGTGTTGAAATGAAAAATATGCTGCATTTGGCTCTACACCAGGGAGAGGCGAGGCGAGAGGACCAGCAGGTTCATGAAATATTTGCCGAGCTGCATAAGTATTTCAATATTTATTGATAAATGTATCCGATGTTGTGCAGATTTTGGTGTATTTGGCGAATGTGTTTGCTGAGCAGAGAGACTGGCTGGGAGGGCGTGAAAGTCGTTGGGGAATTGGCCTGCCCATTGCACCAGGCATCCGATGATGATTTTGAGTGCTTGGGGAAAATATTTACACATCTAAAACATATATACCTAAATCAAAAACAGACAGAACAAAATTCTAGGAACTTTACAGATAAATAAAAGCCAAAAAGGTAAATGTTTAAGGCTTTTACTCTTCTTCGGAGGTTGGAATTCACTGAACCAACAGTAGAACACCCCCAATAATAGCCCTCTATTTTTTAACGGCCAAGTAAAGCCGATTAAACAACCGAGAAAAGGCTTTTTTATAAAACTTAAAGCTTATAATTATTTTTAAATGAAAACGTAATTAGTTTATCCGCACTCACAAGCCGCGCAAAAACCCCACATGCACACGAGTAATTTTAATTAATTTCAATAAAATAAAAGTACAACAAAATGTTAAACAACCCAGACAAAACGCAAAACCAAAGGAAAAAAGCTGCAAAAACCAAATGTTTCTACAATTTCCATTACGTAAAAGTTTGGGCCACTAAGTGGCCGCAAACAAAATTTGTGTGTTTGATGCAACGAACAAACGCAGACATTAAATCAAAATTAAATCGCAGCTTGAAAAGCAATTTCAGTTTTTTCCGAACCACATTTCCCAACAGATGTTGTTCATGAACAAAAAGGGCATCCAATCAAATATATTTGTATGCATTGAAAGCTGCCTAAATTCAGTTAATGCAATATCTTGGCCAACAACCAGACAAACAGCAGGACTCAATTACAGAGCACAGGTCTAAGGCCAGTCAATAATCTAATTGTACAAAGCAAACCGTATTCAAACCAAATTAGGCCCAGCCATCAGTGCCACGGACCTCGCCAACCATATCAAGACGTACGAGTGCGAGTGCGTGTCAATATTTAATTCAAGAGACGCCAGTACCTTAGTACTCTATCAGTGAAACAATTCCAAATGGATCAGGATGGCAGTTAATTTTGTATGAATATATAATATGCTGAATAATATGCTGAATAAGTAATCCTTACAGCATTCATATTCGTAAGCAATGCTAAACTTATAAAAGAAAATACTTAAAAAATATCTCAGAAATACATATGCCTTTACTTTTCATGAATACCGATTCTATTTAATATCTTATTTACTTTAAGATATGGAATTTCACAACTTTCAGATAGCACTGTGCTACTGTCATTTTGTACTTTGCACGGGACAAAAATGAGAGATCACTTCTTCATATTTGGAGTTCGCAATTTAATTTTGGCATAAATTAAAAATCGCGATTTGGTGCAATTTCAATATTTTCAATCGACATCTGCAACGCGGAGATCCACAAAAGTTGATGGATTGAAAAGATAATTGTACGAACTTTCACAGGATATTTGAAGTTTTCTAACATTTTTATTTGTTCTTAATCTGTACCATCTTAAAACTATTTCTTTTGTTTGTTATCGTCCTATTTTTAGACGTTAGTTATCCAGAAATACTACGCCTGTTGTAAAGGCGCAATTACTAGTAGATGCACATGGCACAGTAGATGCCAGCCCCTTGCTGAAAGTGCTCCGCACTCGTGCGTATTGATGTCGGGGTCTTTGACAAAAATATTTAGACGCTCCAAAGACTCTGGTAAATTTCAACCTTGGCCTGGGCAGGACAGTGCTGTCCAGGGAAAAGCCATCTAAAGTGTTGCAACCAGCCCTGCCATGGATGGGTGTTTATCCGTGTGTATCTGTGAGCACTGCTGGGTCCATGAAGGGGGGGACATGTGCCCGACCGTACGGTTTATCTGACCGAGCGGGTCAAGCATCAGTTCATTTTATTGACATAAATGTTTATGTTTATTTGTCTGTGTTTAAGCATTAATGTTTATTGTATTGTTGATCCCGCCTGCGCCGTCCGTCCTTGATGCTCTTATTCCTGTATGTATTGCGCAAATAAAGCCCAAAAACAACCATCAAACAAATATACAAAAGTCGAGTGTGTTTTACAAGTGTTTGTGCGATACTTCCTCTCATCCCTCACGTTGTTTTTGTGAGTTCGTGTGCTTGTCGTGTGATTTTTAAATTGATTTAATTAAATGCTTTTGTTGTTGCTATTAAGCGTTGTATAATTATATTAATTCCGGACAGTGTAAATAATATATACATATTTACACAAGTAATTATAGTGATGGGACTTTAATTATAATTATTAATTAAACCGTTCGTAGTCCTTGTTGCGTTATCTTTGGTTTGCAAGCCTTTCGGAAATTGATATTTTCAAGAATATTCCTTAATATTTTATTTTTGTATATTTTTTTAAGGTTCTTTTATATTTCATTTAAACATATTATATAAATTCTTTATTATTAATTAGTAGTTTTCTATTAAGCTAAAGGACTCTAAAGGACAAAGCTTTTACTGATAAAAGCTTGGCAGAGTAGAGAACTTTGAAAAATCGGGAAAAACTTTGTGTTCTAAAAGCGTATGCCAGCTTTTTCTTAAGCTAATAGGCGCTTTGAAAAGCCTTTTAACTAGGAGCCATCAGAACCATTGAGTAAAATATTTGATATGCTTTGGAGAACATACAAGAGATTCTAACCAATATAGCGAAATTGAATAAGACACCACACCAAAGGGAACCATTATGACCAAAGGGACTTTGAGCAAGATTTACTCGAATTTGTTGTTCATCTACAGAATGTGTATAAAGCTTTTTTAGATAAGGAAGGATAACAATTACACTGTGAAAAGCCGAATAAGCATTTTGACATAATCGAATAAGATTACTACTCGCAGGAATCCCAGGCCCCAGCCCAAGAACTGTTTATTCGACGAACATTTATTAATAGTAAAATGATGGGCCGTTAGACAATTACAATTAAATTTCGAATCGCAAGAATGTCAGTGTATTAGTAAGTTAGTTTACGCGTGAGACTGTGAGCCTTGAATGTGCATTAGTTAGTACATATGTATTAGTATCACTTTGATTTAACTCATTAACTTACTAAACGGCCGCTCGCTCAGCTGCTAGCTGCTGCTTCGTTGTGGTATCCTCCTCTCAACCCATGGTGTTGGACACATGCTTGTTGGAGCCGACAGTGCCGGGCGGAGGTGCCTCGTTGGTGACGCACGTGGGTATGGCGCTGGACCACTTGCCGTTCTTCATGCACTTGAGGACCTTGGAGCCGCGCAGCTCGAGGCCAGCGTCACAGGTGAAGGTGATGCTCTCGCCGATGGCGTAGTAGAACTTGACCGAGGACATGCGGCCGCTGATGACGGTGCCTGGATACGAACAGGCCTGTACGCACTTCGGCAGACCGCCCGACCAGCGGCCGTTATCCTGACAGGCAATTATTGGCTGACCTTGCATCATGTACTCCGGGTTGCAATTGAACTGGACCACATCGCCGGCACGGTAAGGTGCCGAGCCCTGGGCGTAACCGTTTTGCGGCGCACCGGGATTATCGCACTGCACCTCAACACATGTGGGGAATGGGGCCGACCATTCGCCCGTCGGGTTACAGATGGCCTCCGAAGGGCCGCGCAAGCCGTAACCCGACGAGCACGAGAACGCCGCGCGCCCGCCCACCTCCCGCGACAGCACGGAGACGCGCGGCGAGCTCACATTGTTCGGCAGCGGTATATCTCCGCACTCGACGCTCTCGCAAACCGGCAACGGTGCGCTCCAATTGCCACTCGGCAAGCAAAACAGCTCCGATGCGCCAATCAACGAGTTGCCATTGGCACAGGACAACAGCACGCGTGTGCTCAGCTTCGTGTCGTTCGTGTTCACGATCAGGCCCCTTCGTATCGGTATCTCCGGGCAGTTGATTGCCTTGACCACCACCTCGACGGCGTGCTCGTGCCTCGCCGGGGTCATGCACGAGTAGAATCCTGTGTCGTCGTGGCTGGCATCGAAAATGCTCAGCCGATACTCCAGCGATGAGTCCCGGCCCGCATCTGCCTCGGTCACCCAGCCCTCCGTGTAGTTCCTGAAAGTGCCAATATAACCATTTTAAGATCCCATCAAGCTAAATTGCTCAATCCTCGGGATACCCACTTGTGCACGTGACTGACATTCCATTTGGGATTGCCGAAGCGCCGCATCCACAGGCATTCCATGTGCAGCGTGGTGCCCGGGTAGACAATCAGTTTGCCATCGTTGCTCTGGGCAATGGGTCCGTTCTGGTGGCGAAACAGGATAGTGGGTGCCTTTTCCACTGCAATAAAAAGGATTCAGTTGAACTGGCACTCGGCAAATCCGGCAGTTAACCCACTCGCATAGTCGTTCTCCTGATTCAGGCCTGAGCACAGGGGCTTTGTGTTTGTCCATTCCGAATGAATGCAAGTGCGCTCGTGGCTCCCAGTCATGGAAAACTTGCCAATATCGACACACCTGCAAGAAAAGTATAGTGAGGTATAGTGAGTATTCAACCAGAAATCGAATAGTATATGTATCACCTGGAGATTATAGTAGCTCCTGGGGGAAAGTCTACAACATCTTCACGGATCTCAAGATCATTGTAAAAGCTAACCACATTCGCTTCGTTGTTCTTGAACACGCACGTGCCGTTCTCTGGCAAAAGAATGCATAAATATGGCACTTGGATCAAAGGGGACAGTCGTCTTACCGCAATTGTAGGATCGTCCTATCCACAGGCCGTTGTCGCAGATAATGCGCCATGTCTGCCGATCCCCAGCCGCATTTGGTATGCAATTAAAGAAGATCTCTGTGCCGCTCTCGTACATTCCATCAATATCAACATGAGGATCAGTATTTCTACAAAGATGAGGACAACCTGATGATGGCCTGAGGGTTGGATTGATTCCGATACTCACTTGTAAACCAGGGCGCCGTCGGTTAGCATAGGCGGGCCACACATCTTCAAGTCATCATGGTCATGCTCTTCCGTGTTGTTGTCATGATGGTCGTGATCGTTGTCCAGCTCATTGTGCTCCATCTTGGGATGCGGCGTTGGTGTGGCATGTTCGAGCTCCTCGCGGGACCTACGCATCCCCGACTCGCAGGGTATACTGGGTGGCGTGAGGACGCCCTTGTGGCATGACATCTCAATGGGATTGGCATTGGTGGAGAGCTCACACCTCACGTTGACTGTGCTCCCATGGCCGATGGTTAGACCTGCCCGGTAACCGCCCTGTGGGGATTTTATGGAACAGTTATTCGGAAATCAATTGATTGATGGCGCACTCTCACATCATAGATGACACCCGGAATGTTGGGCAGTGTACAAGGCACGGAGGTGCACTCGGAGAAAGCGGCCACCGACCAGGAACCATGAGCACAACGCAGCTGAGCCAAGCCCTGAAAGCACAAGGAAAATTAAATGAGTTGAACCCTCCTCAAATATGGGATAAGCCACCTGTATGTTGAAGCCATCTTCGCACTCCAGGGTCACGAACTCATTGGACTGGATCTCCTCGTAGGTGGACAGCGGCGTCAGAGATGGTTTATCACTCAGCTGCTTCGTGTGCGGCTCCACCTTGTAGTACTGGCCATGCTCCACGGCTGGCACCAGGCAAGGAGCCGACATACATCGCGGGGTCTCGGGCTTCCAGATTCCGCGTATGCAGCGGGCCGTGGCATTCTCCCCCTTAATGTTCAGCTTGAATCCCGCATTGCACTCCAGCTGGAGCATGATGCCCACGGAATTTCGTCCCGGCACCTTGCCCGGTCGCACCGTGGTAATGTTGGCAAACGAATCCCAGTCGAGATCCTCGCAGGGTCCGCGAATACGCTTACCCCCAGCACCTTTACCAGCCTCGCCCCCGTCACTGGTGTCCACATCGGCATCGGGCAGCGTGGCGGACGGTGGAGGGGAGCCTGAGCCAATGCTCGTACTCCGCTTTCGACGCCGTCCCACGATCTGGGACTTTAGCTGTTCGATGAAGGAGAGTGTCGTGTTCGGGTGATACTTCCTTGATGTCGCTCGAGGCGGTGACCCGTTGGCTAGTGGCGCCTCATTGGAGCTATGGTTTATGGACTGGTTGTGGGTGTGGGTTCGCGAGCTCTGATTGATGTTGGGCAGAGGCACTACTCCGCCAGCTCGATAATCGTTTCTATCCTCAAAGTCATTGGCCTCGTTAGGGCTGTGCCACTTGTGCGTGGTCTTGCCTCGCATCATGACCATCTCGGGATTGTTCGGACTGTTGGCACTGTTGTGATCGTACCAGAGTCCATCGTGGGCGTGCAGCTTCTGATAAATCCTGTTGTGGCCCAGCATTTTCCGCACATAACGCTGATAGCGCTCCTTGATGGTCTGATAGTATTTGGAATAGGCCAGATCCAGGTCCGTGGGATTGGGGCTGCGCTTTACCCGGTGCGATGAGGTCCCAGCTAGAATGAATACTGCTAGAAAAGACCTACTTGAGATGCGATCGGAGATACTTACCTCCCTCCAAATGGTTTTGGTGTTCCGCCAGTTCGCGTTGCAGTTGTCGCTGTCTTTGCAGCAGATATACGGATCTCAATTGACGCAGCTGCAGGGAGCGACGTCGACGGCGATTCCAACGGAGTCGAGGATGCTGGCCCAGTAGACACTGCGGCAGATCCAGGGGACGCCATTTACCACCCACGCAAGTGGCACCCGGCGGACCAACCTGTTGGAGAAGAGGGGAGCATCAGCTTCAAAGGAGTTTGGTATCTAAAGTTTTTTGGTGGCTTACCTCCAGGACATATCCCTTGTCACAGTCATACATGATCTGTTTGTTGTTGACAATCTTCTTGACATACGGCCGGTAGTCGTAGAGCCCCATGTTGCCCACCAGCAGAACCTTTCCGTTGGGTATGTAGCCCGGAAACGAGCAGAAGACCTCATCGCACTTTGGCGTCTCCCCCGTCCAATTGCCAAATGAACAGGTGAGCACGTAATCATGCGGATCGGTGACATCCTTGCCCTCTGGGCTGACTAGCTTGAACCCATCCTTGCACTTGAAGCGCGCCTTCATGCCGTGCTCCGTCTTGGGGGCCATCACCATGCCATGCTTGGGAGGACGCGGCATGCTCTTGCAGCGGGCCGGAATGCAGCGTGGTATTATGCTCCAGGTGCCGTTGTTGCAGGTCGGCGGACTCAACAATGAGACGGGAAACTCGTAGTTCTCATCGCACTTCACCTCCAGCGCAGTGCCGTGCTTGACCTTCTCAACTCCGCCCAGGGTTTGGGTGGGCGACTGGGTTGTGGTCGTTGTGGGCGTGACAATTGTCGTTCCGTTCTCGTCTGTGGTTATTTCGATGGGAATGACATAGCCCTGGGATATGGTGGGAACCACGCAGGGAGCCAGACACTCGGGCAAGGCATTGCGCCAGCGCCCATCGATCTGGCAGACACTCGACCCCAAGCCGTTGATCATCATCTCGGGCTGGCAGCGGAAGATGATGCTGGCGCCGAGGCCAGTGCCCGCCTCAATGTTCTCGATCCAGCCGTTGTACAGGACACCAGGATGTCCGCAATTGATCTCTGGCAGGTTCAAGGTTCTAGCATTATCTTTGGGTACTCTGAGAGCATAAACGGCTTACCCTTGCAGGTGGGCAGGGTTCCGCTCCATTTGCGATCGGCACCGCAGCGACTGGAGCTCTCGCCGACCAGGGTGTAACCGTAGCGGCACTCGTAGCTCACAACCGAATTGTAGGCCAGGGTGGTGTAGGTGGCCTTGCCGTTCTTGGGATTCTCCGGCGTGGGGCAGACCACAGAGGTCACCACTGGAAAAAGGGTTGGAGAGTGGAGAGTGGAGAAGGAAGTTAGCAATGAACTGGCAAGGGAAGCAGTTGGGGCAAGGCTAAGGGTAAAAGTTACCACAAATCTTCGAAAAAGCCATTCTTGGAAGGATCCACCAAATAAAACAACTGTGAGCGTTTTGGTTTCGTTTAAATGTTTGATTTTCATTTTGTTTTTGCTTAAGATTTGCGGTAACTTTTATTTATTCAATCAACATTAATAGGCCAACAACAACAACAAGGTTTTTGCATTAAAATTTGAACAATCTGTCGGTAACGCTAGGATCAATAGATAGATGGATATTCAGGAAGGTTTTCAACAAGACTGAAAGGAGCCCTGATCAAAGTACGAGTACGGGTTAATTTTTTCTTTTTGTCTTAATAATTGGCTCGGGGACGTCTCCCCAGATCTCTAACGGGTTGCTTGCTTGCATTACGGAAATTCAAAAGGGTGTGCCTCGTGCTTAGGACAACGACGCTTGGGTTGTGGTTACATTTGCGCTATCCGCTTCAGAGGAGGAATGGAGTTCAAAGGGAGTTCAAATTACAATCACCACCGATCCAATCAAGTCCAACAAAATACTCACAGACACACGTTGGCAGCTCCTTGGGCGTCCACGAGCCATCCGACTGGCAGTAGCGCTCGTGCTTGCCCACCAGCTCGTAGCCGGTGCCACAATTGTAGGTGATCTTGCAACCGTACGTATAGCACTCGCCGGCATGCCAGCCATAGGCCGGATCCGGTGGCTGGCCACAGGAACGGGCTAAAAAAGGGATAACCCAAGAACAGAAATTACACCAAAGTAGCTTACGGAGTAAATTGAACTTACGTTCACATTGTATATCGGGTCCATACCAGCTGGCCTGGTTATCGATGGCCAGACACTTGGCCCTAGGAAATCCATTGGTCACATAGCCCGTATGGCAATGGTACTGCACCGTCGAGTCCAGGTCGAATGTCTCCTGCTCGGGCAGGGCCGAGTTCCGTGCATGCTCGATCTGTGGTGGCTTCAGGCAGTAGACTGCCCAAGAAACACGAATTAAAAATTGAAATTAATAGTGCAATTTGTTCACTTACTGTTCTGCTTGCAGGCTGGCTCGGCGCCCGCCCAGTTGCCGTCGGCTTGGCACAGACGGCTCTGCAGTCCCACCACATGATAGCCGTGGGGACAGGCATAGGAGGCACGGGCACCAAAGTGGCGACCGGCCACGGTGACCTGGCCCAGAGTAGGTTGAGCCAGTTCCGGGCACTCTCGGTCTAAAAACAAAAGACACAGTGAGAAATGGAACCGGAAACCAAAGGTATGTCCATGGCCTACCCGGCTTGATGCAGGAGTTGCCGCAGACGCCGTCGCACAAGCACTTCTTCTTCTTGCTCTTGCAGTCCTCGTCCGAGGAGCATTTTCTCAAGCACTTCTGCCCCAAGAGCGTAGCCTGCTCCTCATCCCTGGGACACTCGGTGGAGGGTGAGTTGCGAGGGTTCTTGTAGACGCGACCGTCATCGTCGGATTCCAGGGAGTCATCGTCCTCATCCCAATCGTCGTCGTCGTCGTCCTGTTGGGGGATCTCTGTGGTGGTCTGGACACTAGTACCAGTTGTGCTGGTGGGCACAGAAATCACTGCAACAAAACAGTTCAAAACAGATCAACAAATGCCCGTGGACAGCTGTTGCCAGCGCCAACCCCCAAGCACAACAGCAGCAACCCCCTATCGAGTGTTCTGTTGTGATTCCGGATTCGTTGTCGTTGTCGTTGTCCCTCTCTTTGTTTTGTTCCGCCTTGCTTGGTGGCAAAAACATTGACCTATTTCCCCCGATGCCTGCTCCAGATGTGAGTCGTTTCCAGCATCATTCGGGACCTGCGCATTGTCCACCTGCTTATATAATCCCAGCAGCATATACATTTTTCTGCCAATTCACATGGAAAATTCTACAATTTCAAGCCAGTTTTTCATTCACCAGATTCTGTTTTCCCCCTCCTAAACTCCCTTTTGAGCAGTTGGATTAATTTTTTAAATTAATTATAACCTTTGTACACCAGAATGGTGGCCACCAGACACTGCAGCAGCAGACGATTCATTTTGATTATTTCCAATTGGTTTTTTTCCTTTGATTTTCCTCCTTGCTTTTGATCTATAGCATTTTCGCACCGATATTTTAAATTTTTTGCTCGGATGCAGGAGAACTTTTTAAATTTTTTCTACGCTTGGGCTCTGAGCCACGAGACTTCACACTTTGGCGGAAAAACACGAAATGCAGCCAGCCCAGCTGCTGCTGCGAGACGAAAGTCGTTCCAGCTCTCGCATTTTGACAGATCAAGAGAGCAGCAGCCAATTTCTGACAGCTCACAATGGTCCCTCCCGGTGGTTGGTCCCTCTAACATGGATTTTTTTGGGATTTGGTCGTTTAGTTTATCCAAAATTATAGCATACCTAAGAGGGGTATGCCTTTGATAATAGTAAACATTATTTTAATAAATTAAAAATAATATAATTGTCTATTTTTGCTAGTATGTACATTCCACATGTAGGTTTTTATCATATACAAAATATATCATGAAAAAAGTATTCATTTGAAAAAACCAACATTAATATTATTAAAAATCTATAATTAACCAAGATTATTGAAAAATTGTGCATTAATTTTAACAAAGTTTTCCCTTTTATCCCTTTCGCATTAAGAATTTCTGCATATTGCTCTAGCCCTACCTGTAACGGTAATTTTCGGAAAGCATTTTTCGGCTGCTTTTTATGGCGCTTTTTCCAAACGGGGGTTGTGGTTGTGCAGCCCTCGCAGCAGAGCTTTTATGAGAGCATTGAAAAAGCTTTCACTATACGCTCGCTCGCTGGCATACAATTTTCCATCACCGCTCACGGGCAGAAGCAGAAGCAGAAGCAGTGAAAACGCACAGCACCGAGCACCGACGACTACGCACAGAGCCACGGGAAAAACTATCCAAAGCGCGCACAAGCAAATACAAAAAATACAAAAGAAAAAAAACGCCAGTAAAACACGCACACACACTGAAAAAGTAGACACTTTTTTAGACGAAAATGTCTTCGGGGCAGCAAGAGTGTAACAAACATTTTGATTAAGCAATTAATTGAGCAAAGTGCAAGTGCAGTGGGTGGAAAATGTTTTAGATTCGGTTCGCTTACGGGTTCGGGTTCGGGTACGGGAACGGGAACGTGCTCGGGGTCGGGTACGGGTACGAGTACGGTACGGCGGGGGCGCATGTGAAAAGCGCGTAAAGAAAAGTAAGTGCCAGAAATTTGTGTATTAAAATAAATCAACTAACCAACTAAACGATGCATACACACACACACACACACACCGCGATTAGTGTATGTACGCCCGAGAGTGAATAGTTCTCTATGTGAGTGGGGCATCTGCAAAAGAAAGGGAAAAAGCGGAAGGTTTGATAAATTAATTGATATTGAACCATTTCGAAATACATCTGCGACAAAATGTCGAACTAGCAGATGCAAAAAAGAAACGTATACAAGTATCTCTCTTCTGTGTATATAGGGAAATGTATTTTTAGCCACTGTGAAAGAATTTAAATTGAATGCGAAAGACATAAAATTATGTGTGTGTCTGTCCGAGCGATTGAACATATTTTGATATCCAATAAATACTTGATATCCAACTACAAAAAAAAGAACATATTTAGCATCTATAGGGATTTCGAAAGAAGGACAGACAGAGAGCGACAGACGTCAGTGCGATGAGCGAGAGAGGGAGAGAGGGAGCTCGCGCGTCAACAATTTTCAAGCGTGTACACAAAAATCCAGCCAAGCGCATTGCCCGCAATAAATCCGAGACGAGACCCAGACCCAGACCAGCCGACAGACCCACCACCCAGCCACCCAACCACCCAACCACCCAACCACCCATCCACCCAACCAGGCCAGCCCGGCCACTTGATTAACGCCAATGCCAATTCAAACGCAGAAAATCTCTATAAAGTTCAGTTCCAGCATAGCAGAGAGCATGCGTTCTACCTGCCTGAGCTTTCGCTCTCTCCACCGCTCTCTCGGGCTCTCTGCGCCTCTCTCACAGGATGGCAAGACTTTGTTTTTGTCATTGACCTGTTGTGGGAAAAGATATGCCAATCCATCAAATATGTATGGAAAAAAGGATTTTCAATGAAAACGTAAGATTTTCAAATGTTGATAAATCTCAGGTATGTCAGATTTATCAGCAAGGACTTAATCGATATGGGGGGAGCACCACCGAAGGTAACAACTAGATCTCTGTGCATGAATGCCTAACAGCTGTGAGATATATCTAACGATCCATTAATCAATCAAGGAGAGCATATTCTGAACATCCTTTTATGGCTACTCATTGCAGGACATCCATAGTCAATTTTAAGTTAACTAGAATCAAACAGAGGCTTCACTCCGTCAAATCATGGGCAACGTGTGCAGTTCCGGCCAGAAGAAAAAGAAGGACAAGGACAGTGGCTCCGAGAAGTCCGATGAGTGAGTGACTTCCGCATGCCTACGCTATAAGAAAACCCAACCTAATTGATTCTGCTTCCAGTTCCCCACCTTACCAGGAGGCAGACAAGAAGGATATACTGATATCCAATGATATGGGCAATGAGAAGCGAGCCCCACTAGCCGCTGTCGAGGCTCTGCCAGAGACGACCCCAGCGCCAGAGGCCAATGGCAATCAGACACAGTCGGCAGCACAGCCGGCTCAGGCAAAGCCCGGTGCCACGGAAAAAGGTAAGTAGGGAGGACGATCGGCGGAACTTTGGAGAGGCGATTATACTGATACTGATATGCATTGTTAGACTCCAACACCACCACACCGCAGGGGGCGCTGGCGCCCAGCGATGTGGCCAATGCCAATCCGAGCATGGGAAATCTCAGCATGCTCCAGGGCAAACCCCCGCCTGGCCGTAAGATCGAGCGGGACAAGAAGATTGTCATCTATATACTGGCTGACAACAGCACCGAGTACAAGAAGCATAAGCGCGTCATCTACAGCCTGTACAAACATTTCAAGAGCAAGTGCCAAAGCAGGGGATTCGACTTCATCATTGCCGATGTCCATGACAGCGAGGAGCATATTGAGCAGACCAACGGCAATGCCAAGAAGGATTTCTCCCGCCTGCAGGAGGTCAAGAGGTGGACGCAGACCCCGCTGGAGGCCCAGGGCGGCCATGAAGAGGCCGCCAATTGCCTGTGCGAGATATCGCGCCATTCTGCCGGAGCGTATATCATACCCGTGCTCTTCCTGGGCTCCACCCTGGGCACACCGATGCTGCCGCTGACGATCGAGAGTCAGGACTTCACTTCGGTGCTGGGTACCGCCAGCGATGCCGAAAAACTGCTTCTCGAGAAGTGGTACACCATTGACAATTCTTACCAGCCGATGTGCCATCGCCTTTACACACAGCAGATCGACCCGTACTCCACTCAGGCGAACGGGGAGCTGAACGAGCTGCTTGCCGTGCTGCTGCGCCTCTTCTCGGACGACGTCAAGGACTCCTATCTGACCACGGTGGTGGAGCAGGAGATCAACAATACGGTGCTGATGAGCCAGGAGCTTGCCAAGCGCTGCATATGGATACAGACGGGTGCCCACTACTCCCGGGCGCCGGAGAATGCCAGCCAGCTGGAGCTGGAGGTGCTGCGTCGCATCACCCGCATCTATGCGGAGCTCAAGAGTCAGCTGTGCGAGAAAAATCTGATTCGCCTGCTGCCCACCATGAACATCCTGGACGAGGAGCTGTCGGCCGTTATCGAGAGTCTGCTGGACAAGTCGCTGGCCGCCATCTTCGAGGAACATCAGCAAAAGAGCAGTATACCCTACAACACGCTGGGCGTGGACAGGGTCCTGCTCGAGGAGCTCCAGCTCATCGGCCACTACTCCAAACTGCTTGCCCAAAACTCTGCCAATTTCGACATCATGAACGATGTGAAGCGCTACATACGCGATTCCAACGCTCAACCCCTGGTCGTGTCCGGCGATCGGGGGAGTGGCAAGAGTGTGCTCGTCTCCAAGATAATGGAGAATGTGCATCGCTGGAAGCCAGAGGCCCAGCTGATATTAAGGTAGGCCCAGTACCAATATCATGATCAGGGCCAAGCTCCTACTAACATTTCCACATTCCACAACAGATATGCCAACCTTAGTGCTCGCTCATCGGATCTCACCTCGCTGCTGGGTTCCATGGCCAATCAGATGTCGGTGCTGGAGACGGGCCAGCAGTGCCAGGTGCCACACGTAAGTGAATGAACAGCTTGAATAATCGAGAGTTATCATCTGAAAAATCCATTCCATCCACAGACCCTCGAGGGCTATGCCGGAGTCATTCGGGATATTCTGGCACGCCAGCAGCGCCTCTTTGTCCTCATAATCGATGGAGTGGACGAGCTGCAGCGTGATGCGGCATTGGACTGGCTGCCACTGCAGCTGGGCAACTCGAAGCTCATCCTGACCGTCAGCGAGCTGGAGGCAGAGCAAAAGGGGGAGGAGGCGGAGCAGGATGAAGATTCCTTTGATATGCTCGGCGCGCTGGCGCAGCTGGGCATACCGCAGCGCTGCTTTCTGCGCCTACGCCAGTTTACTGAGCGCCAGTGGCACGATATACTCAGCTCCGGAGGCGGCGACTTCTACGCGGCCAACGGAGCCCTCAAGTTGCCCGACGAATGGAAATCGCTGCACGGCAAGACGCCCTACCATGCCAAGTCGCTGTGGTGGCTGGCATGGCTGGGGCACGTGGCGCAGCCGATCAGTGAGATCGGCGACATCTCCAGTCGGATACTGCAGGTGCTGGAGACGAAGTTTGCGGCGGATCAGGTGGAGTTGCTGCTGCTGATAGTGCGGCTGTCGCCGTGGGGCATCAGGGAGAGCGACTGCCTGGGTGTTTTCCAAAAGATGACGCAGCTGGAGGCGCAGGTCGCCTTCAAGATATGGTCCAAGTTCTGCTGGCTGATGGGACCAATGCTATTAGGTCTTAAGAATATTAGGATAGCGGACAGAAGCTTTGGACGTGCCGTCCTGGCGAGGTATGCGCAGAAGCAGTGGCTGGTACATGAAGCGCTGCGGGACTACTTCGATCGGCAGGACAGCGAGTTCAAGGGTAGCCAGGGTGCCAACACGTAAGTTTCCAGGCTCTTGTACACACAGGATTCGCCTTCTGTTATATCAAGAATCTCACATTGCAGCTACAATTACCAGAAGTACTTAAAACTGCCTTATCATCACTTCTGTGCCGTGATTGAGGACAAGCCGGCGGCGCACAAGATCGACATACTCTTCAATTGCTTTTACTTTACGGACCTCCAATGGATTGCCAACAAGGTGCATGCCACTGGGCCGAATCATCTGATGCACGACATCCTTCACGCCGAGTGGCTAGCCTCCGTTGGCAGCGATGGATCCACCGGCTATGTGCATATCAATTTCCTCAAACAGTTTCTCGTCCAGTATCTGCACGAGCTGAGCTACGACGGCCAACAGTTCTATACGCTTATGAAGTACTATCTGAAGACGAGCTTTAGGGAGTCGCCCGCCCTCAAGGACGATCAGAAGATACGCTCCTGGTGGGAGTACACCAATGAGCTAGAGTTTGCCTTCCTCGAGATACTCAATGCGGACCTAGACACCGAGAATGGCAATGAGAGGCCAGAGCAGGCCGATGGTGCTGGTGACAGCGATGCTCCGGCTGTTGCTCCTGTCAAGGGCTACGATCTGCTGATGAATCTACCCCAGCCGGGCTGCTATGTGGCCTCCATGTGCACGGAACGGGCCGAGATCTGCATCTGGGATGTCAAGAACTGCTGTCGCATCAGAGAGCTCCAGGGCATACAGCAGCCGACGGCGATGTGTCCCGTTGGCAGCTACGAGGCGGCAGTGCTTTGTCGCCGCGAGATTCGTGTCATCAATCTTGATGAGGGAAAGTTTAAGGTGAGTCTTTCATCTGAAATCCCTACTCAAAGTCGTGTGATTGATGATGCGCTCCTTTCCGTGATCAGGTCACACTCAAGGGCGTGATGAACCAGAAGATGCCCTACTTCGGTCTTCATGATCAGAATCATTTGGTGTGCCTCTCTCGTAATCGGATGTACGTGAATCTCATGAATCTTGATTCGGGGGATTGTGTGACCACCTTTAAGGCTGGCGAAGATCGTTTCCTCAACTCCTTGCTGGTCTCCGGAGATGGGCGGTAAGTGGTATACGTTTGAATCGTTTGAATCTTGAGTGGAAACATTTATCTGCAGCATCCTTGTCTGTGGCGATGAGACACAGAAGCCCTTCCCTCTGCTCGTCTGGCATCTGTCGCAGCGGAAACTGCTCTACGATCTCCGCATACCCCACCATGACTTTATGACCTCACTCTCGGCCATTACCCATGAGGGTTCCTATGTGTGCGTGGTGGCCAAGGAGCTGAATGAGCCGACAACACCGAACTTCATTGTGGTGTATGATCTTCAGAGTGGAACTCTGTTCAAGAAGTGGAAGCCAAGCTGCAATACCGTCTCCCTGGCCATATCGCAGCTGAATGCCTGTGTTATAGCTGGTCTAGAAGATGCCAAAATAGTCATCTGGGATCTGGTCACAGGCAACTGCAAGTCCACTTTGATTGGCCACAATGCACCGGTGACGTTCTTGAAACTGGATCCACTCGGCAAGGTGCTGGTCTCCTATGACAAGGAGGGACGCGACAGTGCCATACGCATGTGGGAACTGAACTCAGGTGGGTCTTTGTCTTTACAATTTCTTATGCAGTTTCTCTACATTGCTCGTTTTTGTGGCAGCCAAATCGCTGGCAGTTTTCAAGCCACCCGCGCAGGTGAGCACCTGCGAGATACTGCCCAACGGAGCCTATGTCGTTCTGGCCCTCAAAGATCGCAATGCTCTGCTTACGTTGGCGCTGAAGAACTACGGCGGCGGCTCCGGCGACGCTCTAGAGGATGACTGTGGCACATTGTATGGCAATCCAGATAACCAGCACAAAGTTTTCGACTTGAGTAATTAAATTAAATCAATTAAAGTTAGTTATCATTATTCAAATTATAAATGAAGCTCCTCCTACAAGAAAGGAAACCAAAGGAAAACAGAATTTTGAACTATTATAAATACGGCAAACAAATTTCTCATGCATAATTCATTAGTTGTATGTAAAATTCTTTAAACAAATCTTACCAAATGTACAAACAATGCAAAGAAAATCCAAAGAAATTATTAATTTAAAAATCCACTCAGTCCGGCGCATGTTTCATTTATGGTCTCTTGACTTCTTGCTTATGTAGTAGCAAACAGATACAACAGATTCTTAGCAAATTGAACGATCTCGGTGCCACCCAGCTTGGATGTACCATAGATGCGATCCACGAATGTGATGGGCACCTCGGCAATGGTGTAGCCGTGTTGTCGCGCTCGTACCAACATTTCCATTTGAAATACGTAGCCCTTCGACACGCAGCTCGCGATGCACTTCTCTAGGACATCCTTTTTGTAGAGTCGGAATGAGCCGGTCAGGTCACTGGCATTGGGGCGCAGCAGAACCTGCGAGAGGTAGTTGGCGCCGCGTGAGATGAGCTTGCGCTTGAAGTCCCAGCCATAGACGCCGCCTTCTCCGGCATAACGAGTGCCCGAAACTATGTCATAGTCGCCCTTCTGTTGCAGCTCGATGAACTCCGGTATAAACTTGGGCTGTGTGGGGTTAGATTCGTTTACACTTTCACGTACACGTCACACGGAGAGTGGTGTTATCTATGCTCACATGATGACTCAAATCCGCATCGATGATAATTATAAAATCTCCAGTGGCATGTTTAATACCATGAATATAGGCTGTTCCCAAGCCCAGCTTGGAGCCGCGTGGCCGGAGGATAATCTTATCCTCGCCGTAGATACCCTGCAGATCCTTGGCCACATCCAATGTTCCGTCCGGACTGCCATCGTCTATCACAATCACCTCGTATTCGTAGCCGCTGCACAGAGAGAGTGAACTTTGTAAATGCTGTTTTAGACCGTTTTGGCACAGCTACTCACCTGGCCTTCATGTATTTCACAATCAGCCAGATTATAATTGGTAAATTGTCCCTTTCATTGTAGGTGGGCAGCAAAATGCTGTATTTGTGGGCATTTGTTGGCATTTTTAAGCCGTGTAAATAAAATTCTTGAGCCAATTAGAGCAGTGTTGGAAACTGGCTGTGCCAAACAGCTGACCGCCTAAAGATGTATCGATATGTCTATATCGTGTTTTAACAGAATTAAAGAAAATTGTTGTTAAAAACAATGCATTATAATATAAACAGTAAAACATAAAAATGGCAGAAGCTTTACAAATTAAAAATTGATCTAAACTTAAATATTGTCCTGAAATTGCGAAAACATCGAGTATCGATAGCACCATCAATTGTTTTTCAGCTCTACAGCACTGGCCGTCTGCTCTAGGGTCGTGATTGTTTTAAGTTTTTTTAAACTTATTAAACGTTATTTATAAAGTCTGCCGTGTGCGCCTGGTCGTGGCGGTGTGCATGTCCCGCAACATAGTTTCGTGTGATTTTAAATCTTCAGAATGGCCAAGAAAATACCATTTAATGTAGTATTTGCCTCAGGTAAACAAGCGGCGCCATGGAATACTCCCAAGCATAACAATTCATTTTACCTGCTATACTTTCTTCATATAATTTTGTTTATTTTGTGTTTTGTTATATGATTTTTTTCTTTCATTTTGTTTTAGCGACTGCTGCTGTTCTGCATGTAAGCATCCGTTCACCGCCCCGCCCCCTTTAACCGTGTCGTATTCGCATTTGGGTGCACTTGAGAAATCAATACAGCACGCAAAAACTATGTGCGTCTGGTTGAGCGGGACGTTAGATATTAAAGAGAATTTTGGATAGACTTAAAGACATTATGGAAACCAGATTAGTTTGGGGAGTGGGGAGCCAAGCAAAGTTTTAAATTTGCCACAGTTCCAGATAATTTGTTATGGAACATTGCACAGAGAATCGAGAAAGCTAGCTAGCAACTATACCCTAGATCAAGTCTAAACATGAAAAAGAACTACCTTGTGTTTTGTTTCTTATAAAAAATTGACTGACATCACCTTTGAAAGGGTCTAAACCCACTGCAACCACCATATATCATGGTCATTTTGACAGATTGTCATAATATGTCTGGCTCTTTCGGTGTCTGCATATTCAATTAGAGATGCGGACATGGATTTACTATTGGCACTGGGCCAAGCGTTTTATTTTGATAGATACTCCCAAACACTCCTCCCAAATAGCCTCCGTAGCCTTTCCCTTTGCCTTCAGCAGATGTGACAGAGTTATTTACTTGACCTTCTCCTGCTTTTTCTGCCGCCTATACTTCAGCTTGCTCAACAGCGATGAAACGGGGGAAATTATGGTCAAAACATAGACCAGCGATGTGACCAGCATCATGCCGGGAATGAAGTCATTGTCCACATGTTTCGTGAAGAATTTCGAGTAGTAGCCCAGGTAGATGGCTCCCATGCCCAGGGAATAGGTGACCAGGCCGAACAGATTGTGGCGGAAACGCAGCTCCGAGGGGGGGAACAACTTTAGGGCCAACTTTGGCTGGAAATAGTTGGCCAGACCACCCACAATACTGGCGGCGCAAAAAAAGGTAGCAGCGGATCCTGCAACACAAGAAACATACATCGATTAGCGCCAACAAGTCAATGAGGCACAAAGTTTAACCGAAAGCCACTCACCAACTCTCCCATGCCAGGTGTTGAAGTGAACCTCCTTGTTGGAGAACTTGCCCAGGCCCCCAAGTAGGACCATTGCGCCGCCGATGATTTGCAGAATGCCATGGAAACGCGACTTGTTGCGGTGTGACAGCCAGCGGGTGATGGGGTTAACCTTATAGTGGGACATCATGGCCTGGGCGATAAGGACGTGGAACTGTCCCAAGAGAAGTGAACAGAATAATTAGTTGGATCGATAAGATAATCGCTGATATGACGGCACTATGAAAACTGGGGATTATTGTGTTCAGGTACTTGTCAAGGCGGTACTCACACCAATTCCGGTCATAAACATGTGCATTGCCGTATCCTTGAAGTCCAGGCTGCGGGCCAGGACAAAGAAGAAGGTGGCCACCAAGAAGATCAGCATATGATTAATGCTGTTCAACAAACTTTGTACCTGCAGCCAGGCGGTGGCTCCGGTGGATCCCTCTGCCATGATTTTTTGCTTAAATTTGTTGCGCAGAGCGACTAAAGAGCGACTAAATCCACACAAGGCTGGCACGTTGCTTAAATACAAAACAGAATAAACAATTTGGGAGTGAGTTCGAAGAGAATTGTCGCCATTCCGACTATTGGATACCCTCTAACCAGATTAATATGTAGAACAAAGCCCACGCGGACTATCTAAACAACGCTAATTATATAGATACTCGATGGGAACAGTACATAACAGCCAGGTGTAGTACCACAATCCAGGGGACGAGAAACGGACATGCAGCAGTGACTGTGAACAAACGTACATACCCTTGCACTCCATTTGTAATTGGTACAGAAAGAGCAGAGAGATAAGCTTTTTTAGGTGTGCGTGGCTCACACTAAGAGAGAGGCACCAAAGAGAGCGTGCTCTTCGAGCAGCTGTTGAGCTGCTCAGCCGCTCTCCCGTCGACTGCACAGTAATGCTGACTTTGAAATTTTGTTGATATTTTTAGATGAGGATGTCAACTTTCCGGCCAGCGAACTGAATACACATGGACCCACTGTGCACGGCTGGAGGAGTACGGTGGACGGCAGCTTGACCACGCATGATATAATTCTACGTTTCCAGCAGCCGGCGAAGATCTACCGCATACAACTGCTAGCCCACCAGTATCTCATACGTAAGTTGAAGTGCAAAGTTCTCTTATGAAGGAACGGAACGGAACTGATGATATTCTCTTTCCATCGACAGCTGAGAAAGTTGAGCTCTGGCTGCACTATTCACCCAAGTCTTTACCCAGCACCCCGTCCTCGCAATACTTTGATTTCCTTGGTTTTGTGGCTCTGGCCGATAATGCCAACACAAACTACAAGTCCCGGGAGCTGCAGAGCGTTACCGTCACGCCGAGGCGGGGCACACATCTGAAGCTGCGCCTCATCGGATCCCAAGACAATGAGTACAACAGAACGGGGCAGATCTCCCTGCTGGCCGTCAATGTGCTGGGCGAGGACCTGGACGTGGGCACTGGTAGCAATGGCAACGGCAACGGGAATGGCGAGGATCACATTGGCAGCGAGGCCCCACCCCTGGACACGGCCACCGGGGAATTAGCGCTGGCCTCCATTTGTGATGACCTGCTCTTCTCCATGTACGTGGAGGAGTCCATTGTGAAGTACATCAGGGAACTGGAACAGCGTAAAACTCTGGCGGTCAGCTCGGAAAGATTTGAATACGCCCGGAAGCTGAAGCTCTGCATGACAGCACTGCGGACGGCGGGAGAGCGTTTGGGACGCTATTCGCTGGCCAAAAGACAAGCGGTGCAGCAGGAGGACTTCACTACAGCCAAGCTAAGGAAGGAGCAGATGGAAATGTATCGAGCATCTGTTCTCAGGCAGCTGCAAGTGCAGCAGCTCCTGGAGTCCCAGGGCGTCCAGAGCTCGAATGATCAGAGCTGTGAGATCTATGCCGGAGGAAAGCCCAGTCTGCCTCCAGCTCCGAGCCTTCAGGAAGTAGCTCACGCCTTGGCTGAGGCGGCCCTAAGTCCCAAGAGCATTACCAGCCAGAGTCAGGACGATAAATCTTCGACAGACGGTTCTTTGGGACAGGCTAGCAATGAAAGTGTGGTGGCCGTGCCAGCGTCATCTGTCCCAGCCCCAACAGTACCATCAGCCCTGCATGCCACGCCCACACATACTGGTGGTTGGCGGAAGTCCCATGACGAGATACCTCAATCGCCGCGCCTACCATCGCGCCACAGTTCGCCCATGTGCAGCCGGCAGGGATCCCTGCGGCGACGCAACAAGAGTGTTCCGCGCAACTCATACGAGGACTACGAGGAGCGCGCCATACCTACATTAAGACAGTGAGTAACGCAGTGCAACTTTATTATAGGCAATTCTTGTGCGTAGATAAGGTTTAAACAAATAACTGTGTTGTGTTGCATGATAGACATCGAGAGTCGATGTTTTGAAATCTTTTGTTGATTGATGTACGTTTTACTTTCTTTTTTCTAATGCGTTTCTAACCGTAAACGTAAACTGTAAACCGTAAACCTTGCCATTCCGTAACCACAAAACAAAAATCGTTAAGTTCAAATACTAATGAATTTTTAAGGGAATGCCAAGGCAATGCCCTGCTGGAAGCCGATCCAAACCGGGGACGTTCGCGCCTCAACGATCGCGAACGTCGCCAGGCAGCCCTTCCCATTCTGGTCTTTGGCAGTGAGTTGGTAAGAATATTTGCACCCACGACAATTCACAAAACACCATTTGAGCTAAATGTTTCGTTTAGGTGGAGCAATTCTATTCGCGGCAGTTTCAGGATCGAGAGGATGGTTTGATGAGACTGCGAAACTTTCTAAAGGAGCTGGAGGTGGTAGAGGTACCCAGCAATGAGCACGCAGCCAGTCCGAATAAGGTGGCACGCAGTGCTGCCCTGCTGCTTCATCGAGCCGTGCGAGACGCAGTCTATTCCGTCTTTAGCCAGGCCACAGAAACGGTCCGCGTCCTGTTTCTGGAATATGTGCCAGGACGTGTCTCGCCCAGTGAGGTTGCACGCTGTGTGGACCGCCTGCTGCCCGAGCTGCTGGCCAAGTCCGGCGATCCTTCGGCCCGCCTGCACACCCTGGCCCAGCACACCATACTCAGCATTGCCGCCTGTCCGGAAGTAGCCGAGCAGAGTCTGGTGGCTCCGGCCCTCTCACGCAGCGTAGGCTCCGGCACCCATCAGCGTTTGGCCATGAGCCGCCTTCAAATGCTCGAGCAGTTGGTGCATACCCAGGGCATCAGCACGGACAAGCACAGTGGACTGACCTGCCGGGCACTCTCAGAATGCGGCTGTTCTGGTATCCATCATCCAGCCGAGCCCGTGCGCAAGGTGGCAGAACGCATTCTCCTTCTTGTCTACAAGATCAATCCTCGCATGGTGCGCAAGCAGCTGCCTCCCGACGACGACATCACTCGTCGCAATCTCCTCTACAGACAACTGTTCACCGAATTTGACAAGCTGGACCTGGACCGCAAGCAGGAGCTGCTCGAGGCCAGCAAATATGTGGGGGGACACAGTTCCGGAGATGCAGCCACTCCACCGACAGACAAGCCCACAACCAGTTCGGATGCCTCGCGTCTGCTTAAGAGTAAAAGCGGCCAGGGGCTGGGCCTTGCTGCCAGTTCCAGCAACGGATATGCCAGTTGCAACGGAAAACAGCAATACAATGAACAGCTGAAACGTTCCATGCTATCCGCATCGAATTCTCGAAAGGGGTCTGCCTCCAATTCGGAATCCACCGAGGACAACACACCCAAGATGTTCGTAATGAGAGCTGCCTTTCCTTTTTTTAAGTGTTAATACATAGATCTTATTCTTTCAGACATTGTCCTTTTTGTAACTGGTCGTGTGCTGGAAGTGATGCCACCCAACTGGATCGACACTACTGGAAGGCCTGTCCGTTTCTCACAAAGTGCCCACAATGCAGTCAAGTGCTGGAGGTAGCTGCGCTCAACTATCACCTGACCAGTAAGTTAAAGAAATCAGACATCCATCAGATCCAATGGGTTGATATTCATTTTATTGCACAGCGGAATGCGATGCCAAGGAGAGCTATGTGGTCTGCACCCGCTGTACGGAATCGGTGCACAAGCAGCTCTACGAACTGCATCAGATGGAGGATTATTGTCGTGGTAAGAATGCGCATTTAACCAGTCTATTACGATCGTTTAATATTGATAATGTTTCGCTCTTTAGAACTGAAAACTGGTGCGGCTCGGTGTCCACTCTGCCATGACGATGTGCACTTACCTGTGGATGGCGGCTGGAAGTTGCATCTCCTCAGCGCCGCCGGGTGTCCCGGGAATATACGCAAAAAAAATCCAAAGAAATCAAACTGAATCTAAGTCAATCTACTCGATTAATCGGCATATGTAGCGAATTTACTAGAGCAACTATACTAATCAGGATGCATACTATAAATATATATATATAATTATATATACACAAGTTCCAGCTGCAGTGGCGTTAAGCGTTATTTAAATCAATTTGTTTTAAGACCCTAAATTTCTTTTAGACACATTTTGTTATGGGAATTAGTTAATTCAAAGATACAATTAGTTTATGTGTAGTTTCTTTTGTATGTTTTTTACGCAATGTGATTTGTTAAGTAACCTAACACGAATTTTTGAAACGTCCTTACAATAAATACAGCCCATCCAAACAGTTTTAAATCAAAAATTGGAATTTTCCATTCGGCGATAACTAATCGCCAGTTGAATAAGTTGTCGGGTAGGTATTCTGACAATTAATGTGAATAAATTATTTTGCATACAAGTCCAGCAAATAAAATACATCGATATTAAAATAAAACTACATGAAAGGCAAATTAATTAACAATTGTTAATTAGTCCCGCGACATGGGCAACATGCAACCCTAGGGAAAAGGATATTATAGAAATCCAATGAATGCCGAACCAAGTCAGACCAAGAATAAGTACCGGGATATATACATATATTCATATATGTATATATATATACATATATATAGGAAACTATCAAATGACTAAATAGGTCTAAGACATGTCAAACTGTGAAACTATCATTAGAAATGTTCCAAATAAGCTTGGAAAACAGAATTTTAATGTTACTTAAGTGAAATAGGGTGTAAAGAGGTCCATCCTCATAGCGGATACCTGTTGACCAGCAAGAATGACGAAACATTCAAGGCAAACTTAAATTTTTGTACATTTTTGTGCTTTGACTTTGTTTGTTGAAATTTTATTTCAGAAAAAAAAAATGCAATAAAACGGAGTAATTCAAATAAGCATGTCTTGTAGAAAATTGATCTATCAATCGAATAAAATTATGTGTACAGGTATGGAAGTCCTAGCTAGCTAGAAATATCAAATCGAATATCAAAATCGAGGAATATGGTTTCCAATCCTTGACAGACAACGATTAACCCATTGTAGACCAAGTGTGTATTTTAAGATTATACAGGAGTTATTGAAAATTGAATCAATATAACGCACTTCAGTTGAAAGATATTGTGGTTTTTTT